AAACAGACATATGAAAGAATGCTCAGTCACTAATCATCAGAGAGATGCAAATTAAAACCACACTGAGGTATCACCTCACACCTGCCAGAATGGATCCATCAACAAATCAATGAACTACAAGTGCTGGCGAGGGTGTGGAGAAAGGGGACCCTGGTGCACTGCTGGTGGAAATGCAGACTGGGGCAGCCACTGTGGAAAACAGCGTGGAGTTTCCTCAAAAGACTAAAAACAGAACTGCCATTTGACCCAGTGAGCCCACTTCTAGGAATATATCCTAAGAAACCCGAAACACTAAGGAAAGAATCTGTGCACCCCTATGTTCTTAGCAGCGCAATTTACAGTAGCTAAGAACTGAAAATAGCCCAAGTGCCCATCAGTAGATGTAGGATAAAAAAAGGTGTGGCACATTCACACCATGGAATACTACGCAGCTGTAAAAAAGGATCTCTTACCTTTTGCGACAGCACGGAGGGACCTGGAGAGTATTATGCTAAGCGAAATAAGCCAGGCAGAGAAAGACAAGTACCACATGATCTCACTTATATGTGGAATCTAATGAACAAAATAAACTGACAAACAGAACAGATCCAGAGACATGGAAGCATGGAACAGACTGAATCTCAGAGGGAAGGGGGGCCGGAAGAGATTAACCAAAGAACTTACATGCATTTAGGCATAACCTGTGGACACAGACAATAGTGTGGTGAAGGTCTGGGGAGTGGGGGAGGTAAAGGGGGNAAAACTGGCAAAGGACCTGAGTAGACACTTCTCCAAAGAGGACACACAGATGGCAAACAGACATATGAAAGAATGCTCAGTCACTAATCATCAGAGAGATGCAAATTAAAACCACACTGAGGTATCACCTCACACCTGCCAGAATGGATCCATCAACAAATCAATGAACTACAAGTGCTGGCGAGGGTGTGGAGAAAGGGGACCCTGGTGCACTGCTGGTGGAAATGCAGACTGGGGCAGCCACTGTGGAAAACAGCGTGGAGTTTCCTCAAAAGACTAAAAACAGAACTGCCATTTGACCCAGTGAGCCCACTTCTAGGAATATATCCTAAGAAACCCGAAACACTAAGGAAAGAATCTGTGCACCCCTATGTTCTTAGCAGCGCAATTTACAGTAGCTAAGAACTGAAAATAGCCCAAGTGCCCATCAGTAGATGTAGGATAAAAAAAGGTGTGGCACATTCACACCATGGAATACTACGCAGCTGTAAAAAAGGATCTCTTACCTTTTGCGACAGCACGGAGGGACCTGGAGAGTATTATGCTAAGCGAAATAAGCCAGGNAATTAAATTAAAAAAAGGGATGGTAAGAGTTCTCATTATAGATCTCCTTTGTTTTCAGTATCATGTATTTAACTGTAATTTCTAGAATTTCATTGTTAATAATGGCTATACGCAGATCCCAAACCCGGTGGTCCCTGCTTCAGGAGGTGTGCCTGCACACCGAGGGGGAACAGCCCCCCAAAGAATCATCATCCCTTCCCATGGCCTGGGTGAACCTGGAAACACGGAGAAGGTGGGAGTGAGGCTCCCGAGTACGTCAGAGCTCCCTCCTTTGCTACCAAGTGCCTTCCTTTACCACCTGCTCTGCTGGTTCCATGAAAGTCCTTTGCTGGTGACTTTTAGGAAAAGGCCTGCCCTCGGCTTCACCCACCAGATACCATGGCTCAGACTCGGGGGGCACCCGCCAGGGAGGGATGGAGACAAAGCTCTCCAAGCAGAAACAGAAAGACAAGGCAGCGGTGGTGGCCTGCCTCCCACCTAAAAGCTTGCCCAGGTGGCAGCCCCCCTGAGGCTACGCTTGTTTTGCTCTGGGGGACATGGGTACATCACAGAAAGTCCGGGCAGAGACTAGAGAGATGTCAATTAGCATTCAGATCACAGGCGCAGAGGGATCAGGGACAGCCCGGCGTTCCAGCTGACAAGGATGTGTCGCTCTGTCCCTGCAGGGTGGTGCAGCTAATCAGAGAGGATTCAGGGTCAGAGAAACCGGAGCACCCACGGGTAACCACGACATAAACCACGTTACTGCACGCTCCGTGGAAAGACACTTCCTTTTCCAGTTACACGCCTGATGGGCTGGGAAGGAGGAGCTCCCAGGTCCTACAAAACTGCCCCTGCTGTCACATCCCTTTGTTGTGATTTAACACCTGTGCTTTAGGGTCCTTGAAATTCTCTATACTGGAGAGTCTTCCCCAGGTATTCAAAGATGTACTCTGAGCAAAACCAAGCGAGATATATTCTTTACCTCTGCTGTCCAGGGCTTCTCATCAACTTCCTACTCTGTTAATGGTTAGTATAATCCTAAAGGTAAATTGCTATGTAAACGGAAATTTCGTGATTTACTAAGGGTCAAGAGCACAGGCTGCAATTTGATGCCAGCACCGGCTAGTTCCACGATTATGGAAAAGTTACTTAATCCTCAAGGTCTCAGCTCAGGGTCAGGCCTCACACCCACAGAAGCTTCTCTGGAACCACCAGCCAGTTTCCAAGCTTAATCTCCAGCCCCTTGGATACTCTACCGGCCTCACTATCCTCCCAATGAACGGCCTTTGGCGTTGTCAGTTTTTGTACCTTGCCACCAAAGAACTCCTAATAATTCAGGTGGCATGTCAAATTATCAGGGAAATACTAGGTTACTCAGGAAATAGTTTTAGGGAAGCTAGCAGCCCATTTGGGGGTGGGGTAGGGTGTGAGTTAAATTCATCAAATGAATTCCAGAATATTAAAGAGTTAATTATTGGGAGAAAAAAAAAAGGCACACCATGACCAGGGGAAATTACTGGGGTAATACGATATTGGGAAGGAGAAGGCCTTGTTATTGGTTCTAAGGTAAGACCACAAAGGAAAACATTCACAGATTTGCACACACAAAACTTAAAATTTTTTCTGTGTCAAAAATAAAATTAAAAAACAAATAACAATCCAGGAAATACATTTGACTAAAATAAGCTGCAGGACTCAAAAGCATAATATATAAAGAGCACTTACAAATCAATAAGATAAACAGTTACATCTAAAAAAAATGGGTGAAGGTCAATTAACAGAAGAAAAAATATAAATGGTGCACATATATGTATATATGTTATACATAGATATAAAATTGCATAAATATTTATGTATAAATTACTCCTTTGCTATCCTTTCATGCCGAATAAGGTCTGAGATTAAGACCAGAAGGAGCCAGCCTTGAAAGGCTGGGCACTGGGCTCTCTTCTGAATCTGGACCTCAAGGCACTGCTGCTTCTCATTACCCCAGTCACACTGCCC